ATTATTTCATCCTAATTTTTGACACATATTTTAATCTCCTGCTGCTTCGATGTAAAAGTAGAATCTTATATAAGAGATTCAGGAAAATCTGACTATATCTAGACTCTGTTTTAGTCAGTAACCAAACAGAATATAATTCTTCTTCCATTAAGAAAAAGTAATGAGGCAAAAAAACCACATTTGACATTTGACTTTTTTTTTTTTTTGTACTACAGATGGTGATGAAACATGTTATCACTGTTTATTAATTTATCTTTGTTCACATTTTCCCAAATATTCACCTAAGAAAGCTAAAAAAACACACTTGCCTGTGTTCCCATAGTGCTCATGGATATCACATTTATCTCCAAGAATTGAATGTGCATATATATCTCTGCTTTTGAGATCTACAAATTACATGCCTAATAATCCCCATTTAATGATCTTTAAAATATATCGTAATTATGGGAAATTGGCAAGCAATCATTTGAAGATATATATGTAATTTTAAAATAATAAACAAGGTACAAATAGGTAGCATTTAGAAACCTAATATTCATCCATATCTGTGGAGTTGTCTCATAAATGAATAGCAAAGAAAATCTTGACAAGCTAATGGACAGATATATCATCTTCAAGAATGAAAATTATCTCGGAAGACATGAATATGGTCTTATCCTTGCTGAATTAGAAAATGATTTCCCTTTTCTCTTTCTGTCAGAGTATTTCAGAATGAGACTGTGGATAGGTGAGGAGAGCCAAAATGCACTTTAAAAAAAAAAAAAAGATTTACTAAAGAGCCAAGTCAAGTGTTAGTGGTATTGACACCTCAACATCCTAGGTCAACAAAGAATATCAATAGCACAAAAGAAACAAAAATCTACATGAAACTTTAGCCTGAGTCAAGATTATAAAGCAGAAAAAAATCTTTTTTCTTTGTACCTTGACAATTCTCCTTTTGTTTCCTTTTTATGAATTCAGTGATATCCCTCCCCTTCTTAAGAGCCCAGCATCCTCATAGACTTCTGGAATATCAGAACTGGAAAAGTCCTCTAAGATTAATCTGTTTCTTCTGCCTTCTCTGAAGACTTCAGAGAAAAATAAGGTCCTAAGCTCTGACCCAGAGGGATGCAGATTCATCTGTTCAACAAATATTGACTGACATCCTACAAAGTCCCTAGGTGCTTGGGATACAATACCTTGTGTGATTCAATCTGTGCTCTCAATAGGTTTACATTTCTAATAGAGAAAGATTGTAAGTAAATAAACACAAAAAGTATGGTGATAAAGCTAAAATAGGTTTTGTGGCACATTGTGGGGCATCTGATCCAATCTGCAGGATCAGGGAAGGCTTTAAAATATATATATATATATTGACCTTTATTTATTTATTTTATATATTCATATATGGTACTGAGAATTGAACCCAGTGCCTCACGCATGCCAGGCAAGTGCGCTTCCCCATCAGGGAAGGCTTTGACGTCTAAATTACACCTGAAGTGTGAGTAAGAGCAAGTCAGGAAAAGGGAGAACACTCTAGATAGTGCATGTGGCATGAACAAAGACCTGGAGATGACAAAGGTGGAGTTTCTGTGCTTTTCACACTTCGGTGGGCTACACAGGAAGGACCAGGAAGGTGGAGACCAGAGGTGGCACTGTAGAGTCATCAAGGACAGCTACTGAATAGTCACCAGGGACAGCTACTGAAAGGGCTTGCCTATCATCCTGTGGAGTGAGATGGGAAGATAATGAAATGGTTTAAATAAAAATGTGACACAATTGGATATTCAGTTTGAAGGAGCTCTTTGGGCACAGACTCTAACTCCGGTAGCCTAATTGAGAGGTCGTGATGAAGGTAGCAGCATACATGTGAATGTGCTCGGGAAGAAGGAGGAGGCAGAATCAAGAGGACTGAGTGATGGATTAGGCACAGGGGCCAGGTGTGGAAGACAAAGAAAAATGAGGACCAATGAGAACGCCTTGGTATTGGGTTCCTTCCTAGCTGTGACACCTGTGAGGGGGAAGCCTAGTAGGTTATTTTGTGAACTTTCTGCAGGTGATTACTAAGAACCAGAGACACTAGTTCAGTGTTTTGACTAAATCATGTGACACCAAAACACATTAGGAAACTCAAGGCATTTCTCCTATTAGAAAGAAGGTACAGGTCTTGTCACTATATAATTTTAAAAATTCTCTCCTGCTTCACATCAAAAACTGTTCTCAGAACAGTATCTCATATGCCCACTGAGCCACGCATAAATGGAGACTTATTAAGACTCTGAAAGTAAAGATAGCTAATCAAGTTCAATTCTTGTACATATTTAGGAGTACTCATTTTCTAACTGGCCATTCTTTCTTCATATATGATTTATCCAAAGAAATACAGACCTATGCAGACACCACCACAGAGATTTTTCTCTCGCAGTTCTGCCAACTCAGAGATCCTCTCCCAGTCGAGACTCTCTTTGGAATCTTTTAATGTATAAATGAGGTAGAAGTTTCTAGACACCAAGAATTCCAGAGCTCAGTGAGTTATTTTGACACTTCAAGTTGCTTTTCAAAATAGGATTAATCCATGTTTAAGGGTTAAATTAACATGTTGGTGTTGGATCTACCTGAGTAGAAAGTCCTCTTTTCTTGTGTCTCTGATATAACCCAATGCCTACTTCCCTTACAGCAGGACCCAAAACATTTCCCCTGGAACTGAGTGAAGTGATTCTGACCCTTTGGTCATCTCCTATATAATTAAAATTGCAGTTGATGATCATTTCCTACTGTAAGTCCATTTCCTATCTGAAATGGTCTAACAGGAAGGGCCTCTGTCTCTCTCTCCTGTAGTTGAAATAATAAACAGTCAAGAAGCCCAATTTTGAGATAGAAATTTCACCCAGAAACTTTGAAAACATTTCATGTTCAAGTTGTTGCAATGACAGGCATTTTACCTTTCTGAGAGAAGTGCACATACATCTAGGGAAGACTTATTTTATAACAATGTTTAACACAGAGACAATTTATGTCTATCTCTTTCCCTAAAGGAGAGGATAGAATAATTATTTATATGGTGAGTGGTAAATGAACTTCTAGTACACAAAGGAAATTTTGACGTGGAACATCCTAGAATATAGTACCTTCAGACCCTTATTTAAGAAAAGAACTTAAAGTCATTTAGGGCAGGTACCTATTTTTAACATCATCCAAAGAGGGTAAGTCATTCATTTTTACAGGTTTTATGCAATATGAGAGGTGCAGGGTACAAGGTTGAACACCAAAGTTTATGATAGACACAGAAAGTTTAGCTAAGATTGGACACCTTGTGGAAAACACTGAGAAAAGCTTCCTGTTAGGCTGTGGCTCCTCATATGCACTGAGTTAAGTTTGTTTGTTTGTTTGTTTAAGAAAAGCAGGTAGAATTAACATCATAATTAAATGACTACTGTTTAATTGTTCTTAAGGACTTTTTGAGTCCCCACACAGACAATATGACTGCAATACAAAAAGAAACATGTAATGTTTGCATACCCCCTCGCTTATGATACTCTAATCAGAATCATGAAACTTACTTCTTATGATTTTATTTTTATTTATTTATTTAATATGCAGTGTTGTGGGTCAATTCTCATAGAGTACATGCTAAGCAAGTACTCTGTCAAGTTACATTCTTAGCTCCATGATTTTTTTTTTAATGATTGAAGGAAAACCTAACCTTCTTGGTATCCTCAGAAAGACAGAAAACATTTATAACTGATGTCATCATAGGCCTGGAAGTTCTATTGCAGTAGAAGTAATAAAGGAGGATAGAATGCTTCCCATTCCCACCAACCTTTGCAGAACATTGATTCTCTGCAGAGACTTGACTCTTGGCTTCAGGCCAAACCCTAACTTCAGATTCCATCTCCATCTCCAAGCAAGCCAGGCTGAAGGCAAATAAGGGAGATAAGGGTATCTTGGAAAACCCTCAGAGATAGAATGAACAACATGCAAAACAGTTACAAACACACACACACACACACACACACACATACACACACATGCACACACACATGTACACAAACCAATCTACAAATAACAGAGTGGTTTTAATATTTCTTCAATCCATCTTATAAATGGCTAGTTGAAACACAAAGCCAAGTGGGGCTGTCCCAGTTCTGATCCTACGCTGATTCCCCACCATTTCTCTTTGCCTCTTCCCCCTACTTCTTCTTCCTTCATCTCTTCCTTTCCCTCTCCTTCTTCCATTTTCTTCCTCTTCTCCTTACCCTCCCTTTCCTTCCCTTTCTCTCATGCTCCTGGATATCCCACAACAGCCATATGCTACAGATGGAATCTGCAACAGCCCACATATTCTACATATTTTTTAGCTTCCCAATATGTAGTTTCTCTGAGACTACCCATAAATAAAATCAGCAACCATTTTTCTACAGCTCTAACTGACACTGATACCGATGTACTGGTGTGCAATCCTGCTTCTTCCTACAGTGCAAAAACTACCTGGATGCCATATGTAGTACCCTGAACTTTGCCCCAACAACAAAGATAGCAATTTGTAATTTTATGTTTGCTTGACTTTGAATAATTTTAGTTTCCTCTGCTGACCACAGGCTTCATGTGCGGAAGAAGAGTGTTGATAGGTTTCTCCTAGGAGCTCCCTTAGAGTAGATGCTCAGTATATTGTGTGCATGTGTGTGTGCATGCACACATGCACATGTGTGTATGAATGAATAGGTATTCTCTCTTCCTCTCTCTACTCCAGGGTGGTGGCACAAAGGATCCCCCTCACCACCCACACACACCCTTACATATCCAAGGAAGAACATCTCCCAAGTCGACTGTCTCTGAACCACATCTTATACCCTTTTACTTCTCTGAGACCATTCAAAGTAGCTTAACTGTTCCATGAATTACACAGTTAGGTGCCCCTTCCATTGAACATTTTGCATTCTTAACTGCTCCTTTTACAATTTATAATATATTAATCCAAGAAAATGATCTTAAACATAAGAATTTTAGGACCAAGGAAACAGTTTCAATATGGAAACATTTTTTAATGTAACTGCCTGCTTTGCTCAAATACAGATCTCCCAACCCCCACAAGCACCTCTGGAAAGTTTCTGTAAACCCACTGGGACAGATGTAGATTTGTGACAAGCTTAGAGTCCATGGGAAGAACCAACATTCAACATTTACAATGTGTCAATCATTTTATGTATTTTATTTCTTTAATAACAACAAAACTATGAAAAAAGACAATAGTAACTAATTTTGGGGTGAGGAACTTAATTCCATAAGTTAATAACTTAATTCCATAAGTTAATAAACTTAGCTGCTAAATGGGAGAATTTAGATTCAATCTGGACTTCATGTTGTTCTCAAATGTCAAGTTTTTCTATCCAGACTTATATTCTCCCTTGAAGAAAGGAAGAAGCTCAGTCTCCAGCTCCTTGAGTAGGAAGGCACTGAACAAGCCATCTTCGCTCGGAAATCACTGTTTATAAGAGAAAATCAAATTTCATAAAGAAATATAATATGGCAGGATGCCCTCTGACAGTCCAATAATTGTGACGCTAAAGAGATAACTTTAAACCATTGTCAAAACTATCCACAGAGGCAATGAATGAAGGCAGACATTGACTGCAATAAATACCCCAAATTTCTTACCCATCACCACCAACCTGTCTTTGTTTCTTTTCTCAGTTATGTTTCCTTGATGCCTCAGTTCTATATTTCAAATATTAGTGCACTGGCCAGAGCTTCTGATCTTCCCTTCCCTGGTGCAAAACACATTACTAAGACTCAATAAATGCAGGCCAATAACAACCACCTTAATCTTGCATCAGGGGAAATTTCTTTCTAGCAAGAGCTCATGATTGACTTACCTCCTGACAGCTATGATAAACCTCTGGCATTCTTACTTTCACTACACTCTCTGAAAAAAAAACTGTTTTCAACACCGTTAACACAGTGTTTCCTTACTGATATGTGCACTGGTGGTCCTTCTTTTTTTTAATTATGAATTTAATTTAACTGTGAGTTTAATTTAGGTGAAATAGAACATTTTCAGTAAGCTCATACCAATTAAATTTTTTTTTTAAAAAATCAATGAACATAGCTTTGTATGGATTTAATCTTTCCTGATGGCACAGACACTATTTTTATCTGCAAGCTCTACAAGACACCACTCAACTGAGGCAATTTGGAGACAGACTGTGATTTTTTTTTTTCGATTTTTCTCAGCTAATTATTCACGGAAGTAAGAAAGATCTTTAAAATTTTTCTTTACATTCATACTAGTGACTAATTACAGCAAATATGAAATTGGGTAAAAGATTTATTTAGCCTAGTAACCCAAAGTTGACCCTCTCATCCCCATCCCCCAAAAAAATTGAATAGGAAAAAAAGAAGTGCTTTTATTCCAATTAAAAAAAGGTCAACTTTTAATACCCAGGGACTTCATTACCTTCTTATTGAAACCTTATGTAAAGGCCTAATTTATAACTGCTTTAAATTTTTTTTTCTACTTAGCTGCACTACCAAATTAAAGTCTAACTGAAAACACGCAGCTTTGAAAGCACAAGTAGGACTTAGGACCATCCAAGTGAGGCACACATGGGTATGGTTTTCATTCCTAATCACGTAATCTCTTTAAACCTCCTATTTGAAGACAAAAATGAAGATTGGTAGATACAGATAGAAAAAAGCTTGAGCTTATCCATTGTTTCTATAGGACTTTATTCATTTCAGTTATGAAAATTCAGAATCTGATCACAAATAACTGATTAGATAGGGGCTCATTCTACAATTACTGTCTTCTTGACTTGGCATTGTTATCAACTTCAGCTTTAATGAGATTTCGATAAGATTCCCATTCTATATTTTGATCATAATTTGTATGCTTTATTTCAAATAAAAATCAACATGTTTTAACCCAATATATTCAATTTTTCTTACTTTGATTTTTTTTGTAGTTATGCTTCTAATCTCACAATTTTTTTACATTTTACATAGAACTTTTTTTGTGTGTGCCAGAGATTGAACTCAGGGGCACTTAACCAATGAACCACATTGCTGCCATTTTCATATTTTTATTTAGAGACAGGGTGTTGCTAAAGTGCTTAGGCCTTGCTAAATTACAGAGGCTGGCTTTGAACTCGAAATCCTCCTGCCTCAGTCTCCAGAGCCACCGGGATTACAGGCAGATGCCACCCTGTAATGTTCCTGGCTTTACATGGAACATTTTGACTTAGAGGAAGGGAATAAGAATCTGGAGAGAGAAAAAAATTTCTAACGCACACACATATATACACACATCTGTTATGGTTTGGACCTTAAATAAGTTCCCCCAGAGGCTCATGTCTTGAAGACTTGTCCTTACCTGATGGAGTGATGCAAAATAAGCCTTTCTACTTATAAGTTGTTTATCTCATGTGTTTTGTCGCAATGATGGAAAGCAAACTGACATACATGCACATACACAAAGTTAATAGGATGGTAACTTGGTCATTGATCGTGATTCATCCACCAATGGTAGGTTAATCCCAAACCAGTGTTCTCCTTCATGCTAGCTCTGACACAGGAAGGAAGAAGGACTGGACAATTACTGAAACATGTATGTAAAAGATCCCATATGCATGGGAAGAAATAAATTGATAATTGAGAAAGTCTTGCTTTCCTAAAGACACCAATGAATCCTAAAGACACCAACGAATGAGGAGGAGGCAGTAGAGGAGCAAAAGGAAGAAGAAGATGCAAAAGAGAGAAAAGAAAGAAATTTGTATTTATTAATACCCTTTTCTGCCTTGTGATTTTTATCCATATGCTTGCTCTGGGACAATTTCTGAAGATTCACTCTTTATTCTGACATTCCAGGCATAGAACAGCTAGTGTCAAGTCTCTCAGGAAACTGACCGCATTTTCAAGAAACTGTTGGAAGACCAATGTGACTAGATTGAATTAGTAAAGGAAGAGTAGTGAAGCATGCCATCAGAGAAGGAGAAAGGGGCCAGAGAGGCAAGGCCCTGAAGCTGGAATGTGACTGTTCTTTATTGCAAGGGTTCAGGAGCAGTGTGACATGATTTGACCTGCATTTTAAGGGGCCCATTGTGGCTTCTGTGTTAAGAATAGATTAAAGAGAGGCAAGACTGAAGTTGAGAAATCAGACAAGAGGTGATAGGATGCAGAATGGCAGCAGTCAAGGTGGGAAGAAGTGGTGCAATTATAGATACAATTTTGTTGATTGAGCTGACAGGATTGGCTGTTGATGACTTGTACATGAGAAAAGGACAGGAATGAAAGGTGACTTGAATAAAAAGGTGAACCTGAGTTTTTTTTCTTTGTTTTCTTGGCCTGCACAACTGTAAGAATCAGTTATCACCTGAAATAGAGAAGGCTGCACATCTAGAAGTAACATTTGAGATGTCTGCTAAAGATCCAATGGAAAATTGAGTGGGTGGTTAGCTACATGAATATGGTGATATAAAGATATATTTGACATGAAATTATAAACTTAGGAGTCCTTTGTTTTTTTAAAGAAATAGTTCATATCCACAAGACTTAATAAAGATCATCAAGTAGGTGATTGTATGTATACACAAAAGAAAAGAGGACTTAGGACTGAGTTTTGAAATATTTTAAAATTTTAAGGGTTGAAAAGGAGAGAATTAGTCCACAAGCAGGATTGAGAAGGAATAACTAGGAAGGTAAGATAAAAACCAGCCAAGTGTGGTATCATCAAGGTCAAGCAAAGAGAATATAAAGAAGAGAGAGTCAGTGTTATTAAATAGGTTTTGAGATGGGGACTGAAAATTGACCATTGAATTTAAGAAAATCATTGGCAACCTTGACAAGAGAAATTTTTGTGCAATGGTAGAGTTGAAAAATTGGTGGAAAAAAAGTTTAAAAGATAATTAAAAAAAATCAGAGATAGCTTGAATTTGAGGAGTTTCCCTGCAAGGTAGGGCAAAGAAATGAGGTTGCAGTAATGTGGGAATAGAAATGGAGTCATATTTGTTTAAGATGAGGAGAATATCATCACATTTATGTGCTAATGTGAACTCCAGTGGACAATGAAATATTGTTAATAAAGAAAAGAAAAGGCAGGATTTGGGGGGAGGTGTTCCTTAATTAGGCATGAGAGAGTAGGTGTTGGTGCACAAATGGAAGGATTAGTTTTAGATTGGAGTACAGGTAATTCGTTTTATGTAACTTGCAGGAAATCTAAAGAACTTAGTATAAATACTTATTGGAAACCAGAGGTGGTAAGTCTATAAAAGTCCATATGAGTCTATGGAATTATTTTTTTAATCACACTTAAATTTTTTATTAGTGCATTATAGTTTTGAATATTAGTGAGATTCATTGTTTTATATTCATATATGCACACAACATAATTTGGTCAATTTCATTCCCTAGTACCTCCCTTTTTATGCAAGTTATTTACTAATTGTTACAGTCTTGGTGAAGCAAAAGTCACCAACTGAGAATGAGGGGTTTGATGCTTGGGAACGTAAGGAGAGTAGAATGAGTTTTGAAATAGTCATCTAAGAGTGTGACAATTATGATTAGCCATCAATATTTAGGTTCCACTTATGGCTCATTCATGAGTTCATAGTGAGTTTCTATGGTTGAATTTTTTAGACAGTTGTATTTATTTGGGGTTGTGTTGTAGGTTTTGTTTTGTTTGGGTTTTGTTTGGTTTGGGTTTTTGTGATGCTGGGGATAGCACCCAGGATTTTGTGCATGTCAGACAAATGCTCCACTACTGAGCTATATTTCCAGCCCCATATAATTTTACCAAATGAATATAAAGCAAGAGAAGGTCAAGGAAGGCTGCATGCAAAGGAGTGCTTGAGTATTTAGACACAGTAAAGAAAGCGAGAACAAGTCAAAGAGACAAAAGGGATTATCAGTTCCAAACTACAGTATGTTATATTTGGAGCACCATAATCGGCTGAATTATTCAGGTTGGAGGAGTGTCAGAGATAGCAAGGTGAAATAGAGATTATGGAGGAATTAATTCCTGACAATGACAAGGTCTCAGTTACAACTTTGAAAGTGAGTGGATATAGTTAACACCATTCAAGATAGGGAAGATTGTGTAACATTGAGGGTCTCCTACCATTTCCATATGCTTTCCCTTATCTCTCCCTTTCTCTCCCCCCACTCGTCTCTATTTAATGTTAATCTTTTCCTCATGCTCTTCCTCCAGAACAACAGCAGATGAGGTAGAGAGGGAAGATGGGAGGGGAGGGGAGGGGGGATAGTAGGGGATAGGAAAGGTAGCAGAATACAACAGTCACTAATATGCCATTATGTAAAAATGTGAGTGTGTAACCGATGTGATTCTGCAATTTGTATTTGGGGTAAAAATGGGAGTTCATAACCCACTTGAGTCAAATGTATGAAAGATGATATATCATGAGCTTTGTAATGTTTTGAACAACCAATAAAAAAAAAGATAGGGAAGATTATGGAAGGGCCAGGTTTGGG